TAATGTATATCCTGAATGAATTTCTTCAATTATCGACTGATTTGATCTCTTTGCTGTCCAAGGGACTCTCAAAAGTCTTCGCCAGCACCAGAGTTTGAAAACATCTGTTCTCTGGCAATCTATTTTCCTTATAGTCCAACTCTCACAACCATACATTGCTACTAGAAAAACCATAGCTTTGACTATATAGACCTTTGTCAGCAACATGATGTCTCTGCTTTTCAGCATGCCTTCCAGATTTTCCATAGCTTTCCTTCCAAGGAAATGCATAACAAAATGTGTCTCATTCTGCATATTGAATCTGTCACCTCTCTGTCAAGAGGTGGGTGAAATTCATTTACCGTGAGTACCGTGGAAATCATGACTGGTCATTGAATTGATCAGAGTACTTAAGATTTGTATGGATTAACACAGAGTGTTAACACAACAGAATGAAGATTAATCTGATGGCAATACAAGCGAGAAGAATCAGAACAATTTGTATTATACCAACATTATTGCAAAAATGCGGTTCCCCCTTAAAGAAGTTGTCATAAATCATCCTCTCCCCCTGGTTCACTTCCCAATTTAGAATAGCCTCTGAATGAGTTGTTTCCTTTCTGCAGTACAATCTCCTAAGGAGGTCAGGCCTCAGGTTTCCTGGGACTTCACTATGTTCAGTTATTAGCAGACTGATATGACCTCCAGGTCCTGGACCTCTGGTATCTAGAATTTCTGAACTTCATAGTCAATCTTCAATATTCCTTCACCTAAGAGCAGGAGAAAATAAACACATAAAGATGAAGAATGAAGGTACGATGTTTTCAAGGTCATATACGGCCCTAAGTGGAAAGAACAGGCCTTTAGCACCAGCTCTACCTCCCTTCCCAACCAGAGGCTTAGAGTATTTTGTGTTTCAACCAACACTAACAAAAAATAATGAGATTGAGTTGTTAAGTCATCGGGCTGATGCAATAAAACTTTACACAGTAGCCATTCAAAAGTCCCCAAGTTGTTAGAAAATCATCATGGCTTACCCATACATGCTCTGAAGAAGAAAGCAAAGCCCTTCATTTCACCTGCCCAGAAGTAGGCTCATGAAACATCCTTATATTCTCAGGACTGGCTCCTGATTAGCCAGTTCTCCACTACATAGGTATGAAAAGTGGGGTATGAAGTATGAACACAGGTTCTCGTATTTCAGAGCCACTGCTTTATATCACACTGCTTCCCTGCCTAGGGAAAGAACCTTAGATTTGGAACTCAATGATCTAGGCTTCAGGCCTAGCTCTGACTACATGACCTGCTCCTTTCTTGATCTTACTTTCTCCATATAATAAATTTGATAGTTGTGTGGATGCTTCCAAGTCTGACATTCTAGGTTTTCTGTTTTAAGGACTCTGACTTTCTGTATTCTGTGTTTCAGAGTTCCTTACAGCTCAACTTAAAAAAAAATCTCAGGGTGAGAAAGGACTAGGGAGGCCATCTAATCAAACTTGAATCTAACTACCACATACCTGTCAAGTGGTTTACTCAAAGATCTCCAGTGAGAGGAAACTCCCCATTTCCAGAGTCTGTTCATTCCACTTTTAAACAGCTTTGATTTTTAAGATGTCAGTTAGTTGGTACAGTGGATAGAGTGTCTGCTCTGGGGTCAGGAAGACTCATCTTCTTGAGTTCAAATCTGGCCTCAGGCACTTACTCTCTATGTGACCCTGAGCAAGTCACTTAACTGTGTTTGCCTCAGTTTCCTCATATGTAAAATGGGCTGGAGAAGAACATAGCAAACCACTACAGCATCTTTGTTCAGCAAACCCAAAATGGTGTCATGAAGAGTCAGACATAGCTGAACAATAAGAAATTTAAGAATTTTTTTCTGTTGTTGAATTTGGCACTTTACAACTTCTATATCCTCATTTTGCCATCTGAAGCCAATGAGAACAAATTGAATTCAGTGTACATGTACCAACAATTTAAGTAATTAGATAGCTATCCTTCCTCCAGTCTTCCCCATGCTAGACATCTTTCATTATTTTAGCATAGGGGTTTTTAACCTGGGGTCCATGGACCATCATGTGTTCTGTGGCTAGATTTCAGAAGGTCCATGAACCTAGATAGGAAAAAATACATCTTTATTTTCTCTAACCTTTAACTAAAATGTAGTCTTTCCTATAATTATTTTAAATATATATTATTTAAAGAAGATGTCCAGAGACTTCACCAGATTGCCAAAGAAATACATGGTGCACACACATACACATACAAATTAACAATCCCTGTTTAACAAGTTCTTGTATGGCATAAGCTTGAGACTCTATCAGTGGGAATTTACATGATGCTTTATGGTTTATCATAACAGTACTATGAAGTAGTTGATATAAGTTATCCACATATTACAGATGAAGAAACTAAGGCACAATGAAGTTATATAATTTGCTTATGGATATATAATTAATGTGCCAGAACTAGGATTAAAGCCCAGACCTCTTAGATTCAAAGTCCCATGTTTTTTCTACTATATCAAAATGCATTCATTAGACACAATGGAAATACTTGTTTTATTTCTTCAATTAAAAATATTTATTTTTTTAAATTAAAAAAAATTATTCACAGCCTAAGTCTCTCCTCCCCACATACCCAATCAGTTTCCAAGTATCCTCAGAGGGATTAATAACTTCTAATCCCAAGTCTACCCATCTCTCACATGTCAGATGCTACATGAAGCCCCCATTTATTATTTCAGCCTCCTTACTCTCTCCTTTCCTTGCATTCCTATAGCAATTTGCCTCACACTATTTAGGACTTAGTCTCTGCCATTAATCAGCTGTGTGGTTTTGTCTAATTTATTTAACTCCTCTGAGCTCATCTATAAAATGGGAAGAATACTGCTAAATATTACTTATCTAATAAGGATGTTGTGAGACTCAAATGAGGTAATAAGGACAAAGTAGTCTGAAACCTCAAAACAATATATGAATATAAACTTATTGCATTTAGTAACTCATGTTATAAACCTGTGTCTATTGAATACTAGGTACTGTCCTCAGAAATATTTACATACTAGTCTCATCCTCCATGCTGTTGCCACAGTGATCTTACTTCAATGACAAATCTGACCGTTTCACTCCCTTACTCAATAAACTATGGTTTACTCTTGGTTCTAGAATCAAATGTAAATTCTTCTGTTTGGTTTTAAATTCCTTCACAGCCTTGCTCTAACTAATCTTTCCACACTTATCATACATTACTGTCCCTCCAATATTCTACAGTCCAGTGAATTTGGCCTTCCCTGTGTCCCTCAGGGACAATATTTCGATTTTCATCTCACTGCCTCTGCATTGACTGTCCCTCATACCTGGAATATAATCCCCACTCACTTGCCTCATAGAATCCCTGACTTCCTTCAAGACTCAGCTAAATAGATATATGAAAAAAATTCTCTAAATCACTATTGATTAGAAAAATACAAATTAACACAACTTTGAAATATCATCTCCCTATCAGATTGATTTAAATGATAGAAAGGGAAAGCAACAAATGTTAGTGGGGATGTGAAAAAATTGGGACATTAATTCACCATTGGTAGTACTGTGAACTGATTCAACCATTTTGGAGTGCAATCTGGAATTATGCCCAAAGAATTATAAAACTGTATATACCCTTTAACCTAGCAATACAACTCTTGTTTCCCAAGTGTTTCCCAAGGTGATTAGGGAAAAAGGAAAAGTATTCATAGGTTTTAAAATATTTATAGCAGCTCTCTTTGTGATGGCAAAGAACTGGAAATTGAGGGGATGCCTGTCAATTGGGGAATAGCTAAACAAGTTGTGGTATATAATTGTGGTGGAATACTATTGGGCTATAAGAAATGATGAACTGGTTGATTTTAGAAAAACATGGAAAGACTTGCATGAAATAAGGAAGAGTGAAATGAATAGAACCAAGAGAACACTGTACACACTAACAGCTATATTGTCCTAAGAACAGTTTTGAATAACTAAATCATTTTGAGTACTACAAATACTCAAATCAACTACAAAGGAACTTTGAAGGAAGATGTTATCCATCTCCAGATAAAGAACTGATAATTAGAAGTTTTACATACATATATATATATATATACACATAATATTTATACATACATATATTATGCACACATATCTGTGTCTAATACTTGCCTTCTCTAGGGTGGGGTGGGGGAGAGGAAGAATAAAAATAAAAAGTGCACAGCAGAGAACAAAAGAAAATTTGGAAGCACAGAAAAGCAGAGTGAGTAGCTTTGAAAATGATGTGTAATATTTATTACATAGTCTGTTTTTTTTTTAAAGTAAGCAGTGTGAAATGGAAATCCATGGTTTTATATAGAATGCTCTTTTTACATTGTGCTGTGTACATGGAAATGTTCTCCCTTTTTTGTCGTTTTTGTATTTAAGTTCAAAGTGAATATTTAAAAAAAAAGACTCAGTTAACGCCTTTGCTGCACCAACCCCCTCCTCCTACTGTCCTCCTCAAACTACTTTTATGTAGCTACTTTGTATTTCATCTTTTTACATTGATTCTACAGGTATGGAGAGATATTTCCTTGTTGTCTCCCTTATTCAAATCTAAGCTACATTTAGTGAGGATAGTTTCATTTTTGTGTGTGTGTATGCTTGGGCCCCTACTTGGTACCTGGCACATAGTGGGTGCTTAATAAATTGTTGGTTAATTGACTGATAGAAATCATATACTAATTAATCTTTTTTTTTTACAATAAAAAAGTATCCTGGTTTTCTAGGAGCCAGAAGACTCAGCGAAAGCCTTTCCCATCAGTGAGATGGATCAGATGATCTGTAAGGTCACTTCCATCTATAAATCCTATAATTCAATAATAAGTAAATACAAAACCCAAAGTGCTGTATTTGCCATGATTTCCCCCTTGTCTCTTCAGTAGGGTCTTGTTTGAGATATCCCTCAGACTCATCAACAACAAAACAATAAACCAAAGAAATAAACAAACTGACCCTCAAATATTTGCCAAGTTATTTTTATTGAAGGTGAGTTAGTGAGGGAAATTGTAGGCACTGAACCACTTGGAGGTTTAGCATTTTCCATCATGCTTGTAGCCAATCTGTCCATTCTGTTCCCTAGAAGAAACAGAAAGATTTCTTAGATACAAAGCCCATCTCCATCATATGTTAACGGAGCTTTCACAGATTACCTTTGAATATCAATAGGCCCCAAGTTCCCTAGTCTTCTTCCCTCTGTTACTATTTCTCCTTGTGACTCCCACCCTACAGCCTTCCTTAGTAGGCAGCATGCTCTAGTGGGAAGAGGATTAGGCATGGACTCATAAGACTTGGTTTAGAATCCTGGCCCTGCCACTTACTAGCCACATATCCTAGGAACACTCACTCCTCCCTATTTGAACTTGAGATTCCTCACCTTTAAAATGAGGATGGAAATTTTCATACTCTCTACTTCATGAGATAGTGGTAGGGAAAGTGTTTTGGACTATACAAAACACTAGAGGTATGAGAGTTCTTACTGTGATGACTTCCACCTACATTCTCACAACAGTATGTCTTCTTTAATAATTCACCTGCAAAGTGGAAGTGAATTGAAAGCTATGACAAAGAAAGCTTAGACCCTGTTTAAACCCTGTGTGACCCAGATGGGCTCTACAGAGAGGCCAAGGGAAAGCAGAGACCTTCTGTATTTGCCATGGGTGGGTGTGTGGTACTCCACATTGGAATGAGTTGTTTCCATAGACAAGGAATCTTTAGTAACTGGAGGAATTTGAATAGAGATTGGATAAACAATTATTAAAATATGACAGATTTTTTTAAAATAAAAACCAAATTTGTGGAGTTCCAAAGAAACAGGTTTCCCCTACCATTCTCTCTCCCTCCTCCTTTCTGTTCCACAACCCCTGGGATTCAAAAATGATATATCCTTGTACTCACATAGCTACCTTGCAGAATTCACAGAGATTCTTGTAGGTCTGGCCATCTGTGCCACACACTGGTTTTTGAATATTGGGACATTGAGTGTTTTCTCCTGGGGCTGGTGGCTTGAATTTTTTGCACTGAGCCTGCAATAGCAATACAATATTTTCAGTTCTGTACCCAAGAAGATTCTAGGATTTAGAACCAGAGACATTTTAGGAGTAATTTGGTCTTTAACCATTCTGTTTACAGATGAGGAAACAGATCAACAGAAAAATTACCCAAGACCACAGAAGTAGTTAGGAGAAACCAGGATTTGAAGTTAGGTATCTAATTAAAAACTCAGGGCTCTTTCCACTACCCCATTGCTGGCTCCCCACAACAGATGCCAATAGATGGAGACCTGGTTTACCCTCTGCTTGCCTAACTCCAGAAGTCCATTTACCCTCAAACCGCCATAAGGGACAATTCATTATGTAGACTCAATAAATTTGCAGTGTGATTAGTTATAATTAGCATTTAGGGAATGTTTGTAGATCTTAGACTTTACTGGGAAAGTTTCATAGAATCATAAACTCTTAGGGCTAGAAGAGACTCTGGAAGTCATCTAGTCTAACCAGTGCTGAGTAGGAGTACCCTCAATAAGAGCTCGTTCAGCTTCTGACCTCCAAGGAGAAAGAACTCATTATTCTCTGAGGCAGCCCATCCCACTTTTGGAAAATTCTTATTGTTAAAAATCTGCCTTTCTGAAATTTCCCTTCCTTTCTCCCCTTACACAGTTACTGTTGCTCTTAGCTCTACTCTTTGGGATCAAACAGAAAAAAGTCCAACTCCTTTTCCTTATGAGAGTACTGAAAATGTCTAAAGACAACAATTAGGCCCTTCCTCTGCCTTCCCTAAGTCTTCAATTCTTCAGGCTAAACACAGACAAGTCCCTTCAACTGATCCTCAAATGATGCAGTTTCTAGACTCCTCACCATTTCTGGTTTCCCTACTCTAGTTGTGTCCCAGCTCTGTTTTCCTCCTAAAATGTGACACATAGAACCACATGCAGAATTACAGATTTTTGCTGACCCACAGAGATAATGGAAGAAAAAAAGACAATAATTGTAGCATCAAGATCAAAGAAGAAGAGAGAGGACAATGGATCAGTGGAGCTCACCAGGATGGGACCTTAGGAGATGAGCTAGGCCAAAACTCTCATTCTGCAGAAAGAGAAGCAAAAAAGTCCAGAGAAATGAAGTATTTGGCTCTGGATCATACAAGCAATAAATAGCAGAGCACTGAAGTGAGTTCAGGTCTTCTGAATTTTAGTCCATATCTCTTTTTAAAACACAATTCATAGCCCAGGTGAAAGGGTGAGAGGTAGAAAGGAAAAAGAGAGTCAGGAAGGTTGTAAGGAAGTGAGTGAGTTCTGTTGTGTGTAGAACTGTGAGTCTGAGGGAAAAGGAGATTTGGAATAGCTATTGCACTGCTAGCCAAGTAGAGATCACTCAGCACGAATTTGTCTTTTCACAGCAATGTTTTATATCTAAGAGCAATAGACAAAAGGGGAGGTTATCACAGCTCAGTCCTGAGAAGAGCAGATAGGACTGAACTAGTGTGGGGGCTTGGTCATCAACTTCCTATATGTTAAAACTGTCAATGGGAAGGGAAGTTAGACTTGTTCAACTAGGCCCAGAGGGCAGAATAGGTGCTATGGGTGGATACTACAAGGAGACAAATTTAAGTTTATCTGAAGGACAATTCCTTTCAACAATAGGTGAAACACTTTTATTTCAAATTTAAGACTTTCTCACATTGGCATAGATTATAGTCACTTTGAAGAAGACTAAATGCTATCCACATTCAGAGAAAGAAATGATGGAGTCTGATTGCAGATTGAAGCATACTATTTTCCACTTTACTTTTGCTTGTTTTCTTTTTCTTTTTAGTCTGTCTTTTTTTACAACATGACTAATACGAAAATTTGTTTTGCATGATTATACATGTATAACCTATATCAAATTCCTTACCATCCAAGAAGAGAAGGGAGAAAATTTGGAACTCAAAAAAGATTTTTAAATGAATGCTAAAAATTGTCTTTACATGTAATTGGAGAAATATTATTTAAAAATTTTAAAACACTAAATAATATAGTATAAGGTTTCAGTAGAGTTCCATGAAAGAATGATTTCCAGAAAAAGAGACACAAAGTATCTGTGGCAAGAACAATATTTTTTTTATTATTCTTATACCTACAGTAGCATTGGAAGAGTTTATGCACTGATATGTTGTGGCTTATGAAAAAGCAGGATGAAGTCTTACAAAACAGACCATCAAAGCTAGAAAGATCTTTAGAACCTGGACTATCACATGTTAGTTCTGAAGGGCATCTTAGATCATTGAATGTTAAAGCTAGGAGGGACTTAGAACCTAAATCAGAGAGTGTTCAAGTTGGGAGAGATCTTAAAGCTAGAGGAGACCTTAGTATATAAAACAGAGGGGGCAGCTAGGTGGAGGAGTGGCTAGAGCACTGGCCCTGAAGCTAGAAGGAGCCGAGTTCAAATCTGGCCTCAGACCAAACACTTGACACTTACTAGCTGTGTGACCCTGAGCAAGTCACTTAACCCCAATTGCCAAAAAAAAAAAAGTTTATAAAACGGAATAGTCCAATCAGTATGTTCTTTTCCCAGTGTAACTGACTGAAATGTCACCTCTTCTAGTAAGCCTTCCCTGGTATTCTCCAGTCAGAAGGGACTACTTCCTCACAATATATTCTTCTTCTAAATTCACTTTCCTACTCTCCCTTGTTGGTAGGTCTATGCGTCCCTCTCTTATTCTCCTATAAGACTATAATTTCTATAGGACAGACCTGGCCTCATGCTTCTTTGTGTCACCCAGCATCAATGAGTTCATACATTTGTATGGCTTGGGTCATCTGAGTGACAAACCAATTGCAGGATCAATAGATGATTGGTCATTTAACTTCTGCCTTGAGAGGAATGGAGCCTCTAATAGAGAGAGTAGTACGTACCTGATAGCCGCCTTGACTTACAGCATCTGGAATTAAGAAGACATCAGATATTCATGAGACACTCACTACGGTTTGGAAGAATCACAGAATGCAGAATGTGTGAGCCAGAAGAGTTCCTATAGACCCATCCAATCTACTTGTTTTAGAGATGGTCAAAGTGAAATCCAGAGAGTTCAGACTTGGGCTTGATCAAATTCACTTGAATAGAGCTGTGACTGGACCTTATGCTTGTACTCTTCTTACTTGTTGGTCAGTTATTTCATTTGTGTTTGAATCTTTTGTGAGTTTTGGGATTTTCTTGGCAAAGATCCTGGAGTGGTTTGCCATTACCTTCTGCAGCTCACAAGGTTAAGTGACTTGCCCACAGTCACACAGCTAGTGAGTGTCTGAGACCATATTGAAATTTAGGAAGGTGAGTCTGCTTGACTCCAGGCCCAGTAATCTATCCACTGTACCACCTAGCTGCCCATTACATCTCAAGAAAATAAACCCTTAGAGCAAATGAGGGCAAAATCAGCCATGGAGTAAAGAATAATTTTTACAATATAGATTGATGGAAATTATTCCAATAGTTGGCTCTTGGAAGAGTCAGTAAAATCGATAAATAAGGCCACTGTCAATAAATAACAAGTCATTTACACATGGCTATAAAGTGCCATATGTCCTTAACCCTCCCAACAACCCTGCTTTGGTAAGTAATACAAGCATTATTTTCCTCAATTCATAGATAATGAAAACTGAGGCCCTGAATGGAGAAGTGACTTGTTCGAAGTCATATAGTAAGTTTATGCCATAACAAGACTAGAATAGACCTCAAATTGAAAGGGATTATCTAGCCCAATCCTCTCATTTTACAAATAAAGAAACTGGGACCAGAGGAGACCAAGTGATTTGGGCAAATGAAAATAAATGGCAGAGGTGGGCTTTGAACCCAGGTCCTCTGACTCAAGAATACAGTGTTTTCACATCATACCATGCTGCCTTCCTGCCTCTTTGGACTCCCAGTGAAATGCTCTCTCTTTTACACAGTACCTTCATTAGTACTGTGTTTAAAAAATACTCCAGATATTCTAAGCTTTTGTAAAGGGAGGTTTTTCATATAAAACTGTGTATCTGTCTTTATTTTTCTTATGTAGCTAAGTGGCAATAATGGATATATTGTTATGTCATATGGTCATGGAAGCAACAGATCTATAGGCATTCCTGTAGTATGGTCTCATAGAGCAAAAGAATCACAAGATTGGTGAGATGTACAGAGCCCCTCATATCACAGATCTAAAAGGACCCTCAGGTAGTATCTAATACATCCTTGACCCAAAGCATTATTCTCATCCCTGATCGCCAGTCATACCATTTTGGAGGTCTCTTTATATGATGACAAGAGACTCCCACTTGCTGAACAAATAGGTTATATTTTCCCAGAAGAAAGCTTACTTTCTGAGGCAGTATGCAAAGCCCTGGGTATATGGACTCAGTACTCATTAGGGCAGCTAGGTGGCACAGTGGACAGAGTGCTGGGCCTAGAGTCAGGAAGACCTGAGTTCAAATCTATCCTCAGACAATTACTAGCTGTGTGACCTTAAGCAACTCACTTAATAGTGTTTGCCTCAGTTTCCTCATCTGTAAAAATGAGCCAGAGAAGGAAATGGCAAACCACCCCAGTGTCTTTGCCAAGAAAATCCCAGATGGGGTCACAAAGAGCTAGTCATGAAAGAAACGACAGAACAACAACTTCCTGACTCCAGGCACAGCACTCTATCTACTTTACCACTTAGCCCTTATCTGCTCCAAGCCTGGTTGGCCCATAAGGTCCATAAGCCCACTGCTAGTAGACTTGAGGGAAAAAAAAGATCTTACACTCACCCACAATTAAGAAGGCACAGGTCAAGCAGAGCAGAAACATTGAGCTACGTGAAGAAGTCATGGCAATGTGGGGTGACTGGTCTGTTGAGAGTTCAGTGATGTATTGCCTGACTGAGGCCCCCAAGTGGCATTTATAAGGGGATCCATGGATACCCAGCCACATGCTCATCCACAGGGCAGGCAGCCAGATCCTCCACCCTAGTGATGAAATCTGCTTTTGCAGTCCTCGCAAAGAGAGGCACCAGCAACTAAAAGATGCTTGCTCCAGGGATGTTCTGTGCAGGCAGGTACACTCATAACACTGATAGCTCCATTCAAATACATCTCCAAACATCAGTTTCCATATCACACACCCTGAGCTGAATGTCTAACTGTGCTTAATGAAGGGCACACCCAATCCATTTCCCTGAACTGTGCACTTTTAGGGAATTTGATCCAGGGAGTTCAGGGAACTCTCTTATTGTGGGGCCATCCAGCTCTTTCTTTGGCCACAATAAGTTAAAAGAATACAAGGATTTTCAAATTTCCCTTTCCCCTCTGAGGTAAATGATCCCCCCTCGTCCTCTAATTCCTTTTTACTCTCATTTAAAGACTAGGCCTCCCTCCCTATAGCTAGATCTCCTCTCATTCCCAACCCCCAGTCTTATCCCATCCACCTAGGTAGCACAGTGGATATAAGACTTGGCCTGGAGTCAGGAAAACATGAACTCAAATCTGACCACAGACACTTACTAGATGTGTGACCTTGGGCAAGTTACTGTCTGCCTCAGTTGTCTCAACTGTAAAATGGGGATAAATAACAGCATCTACCTCTCAGGATCATTGTGAGGATCAGATGAGATAATATTTGTAAAGCATGTAGCACAGTGCCTGACAATTTCCTTCCTTTCCTTTTCTCCTCAACCTTCCTTCCTTCAAACTAGTGTATGATAATTCCCTTGGCCTTACTAGAATCTGACTCCCCAGAGTTTTGATTTGCCTGCCTCCCTTATTCCCTCAGCATCTGATTCACTCCCTTGTAGGATGGCAATCTCAGTCAGTGTATGATTCCACCCACCAAGAGTCACTAAAAAAGATTTCTTTCTCTTTTCTCTTCATTAATTCTCTTCCCTTCCTATCTATTCTAAACTTTTATTCTTTGATTCATGGCACTTATACTTACAGATTCTTTTTGTTTTAGTTTCTGCATTCCTTATGCAATTAAAGTTTCTAAGAAGAGTTCCCTCTTCTAAATAATTTCTATTTTATTGTCCTGTAGATGTTGCCCCCTCTCCTTTTGTCTTTTGTACCTCACTCTTAGAGGTATCAATTCTTATAGGAGATGGAAAGGCCAGAAATATTGCCTTGTGATAGAAATTTTCCCAAGTCCCTCATTATGGAGATAATTTCTACCTCCCTGATCTCCCTATGATCATTTGATTTCCCATTGGTGATGGGATCTTTTTTTTAAATGGGTCCATGTTCTTCCACCCTTCTGGATGCTAGTTATCCCCAGGAGCTCTAATTCTCTATCTCCTGATGCAAAATGCTGTTCATGGAAATACAGCACTTTCCCAAAGATGTTATTCTCTTCCTTAGAACCAAATCCTTGCAGATCACAACCACTGTAAAATCTGTATCTCCCATCATAGAATACATTTCTCCCCCAAGAGAGGGTTCTTCAGTAGAATCCATTCCACCACTGTATAAAGACAGTCCTCTTTCTTTCTTCCTGTTTTAATTCCTCTCTTTACCACTTGGAACATTCTCCTATAGCTCCTTGTCTTCCCAAGAGATTACATGAGTTATTTCCCTTCATTGTTTAACATTGACTTGATTAGGATATGTCACACAAGTCCCCTCAATATAGTCGCTTCCCTCTCATCTTTCATGCTTCCTTTCATTCTGCAATTTAGTCTCACAAAAAAATTAAAATAAAATACATTAACTCACTTGTAGAGGGTGGGTAAAGTGGTTTAATCTAGGCCTATTCTTCCCCCATCATTTCTATTTAATTTCCACTTTCACATTCATCTTTGTGTATTTTTAGAAATAAATCTCTTAATGGTTCCTCTGTTGTGTTGTTCTTGTTGTTTTTGTTTGTTGTTGTTTTTTTTAATCCCCTAGAGGCAGCTAGGTGGCACAGCATGGAGTACTGGACCTGGACTCAGTAAGTCCTGAGTTCAAACCCAGCTTTACTTATTAATTATATGACTATGAGCAAATCTCTTAAATTCTTTGTGCCTCAGTTTCCTCACCTATAAAGTGGGGATAATAGAACTTACCTCTCAGTGTTATTATGAAGATAAAATGAGAAAATATTAGCAAAATATTTTATATATATGTAGTGCTACATATGTATATACATATACATAGCATGTAAAGTGCTATATAAAAGCTAGTTATTGTTATTTCTCCTTCTAGTTCTATCCTTTTTTTCTGAAGTAACTTATTTTATTTGTGTTTTCCTTGTTTGCTGTATTTACTTTTCTTGTGTTTCTACTGTCTGAGACGTTTGCAAATGTCTTCTCGTGTTTTTTTTTGAAAGCTTCAAATGCCTCTTTTTATTACACGTGCATATCCTTCACTAACGATTAAGTTCAACCTTGCAGGATATGTCACCTTGGGCTGCATCTTGAGCTTTTTGCTTTTATTGTTGTTGTTCAGTCATGTCTGACTCTTTGTGACCTTGTGGACCTTAGCATGCCAAGTCCTTCTATCCTCCACTATCTCTCGAAGTCTGTATTAACCTTTGCAGCATCAAACTTTCCTTTCACCACCAGACACATCCACAGCTGAGCTTCCTTATGGCTTTGGCCCAACTACTTAATTAGTACTGGAGTTGTTTATAACTATCCTCGACTCTTCCCCACTAGTGTATTGGACACATTCCAACCTGAGGGGCTTATCTTCCGATATCATCTCTTTTATCATTTTAGTACTGTCCATGGGGTTTTCTTGACAAAGATACTGGAGTAGTTTTCCATTTGCTTCTCTAGTGAATCACCAGAATTCTGTCAAAACTTTCCACTAACCCTGCATGGCATAGTTCATAGTTTGATTGAGCTACACGAACCACTCTGCCAAAATAAGGTGGTGTTCCAGGGGAGGATATATTATTTTGGGTTTGGGGAATATATCATTCTTTTCCCTTCTGTAGTTTCTGAGAGCTAGATAATAGCAT